ATTCTGACCAGAGTGATAGGCTAGTTCAAATAACTACTATAGGGTAAATTGTAATTCAATTGGCCACCTGTGTGTGGCCAGACTCAACCACATGGCCTTTGCTCTATAAAAGTTAGTCTGTGAGGCTGGGAAGGGGTCGCCTCTTTGCAAGAGACGGCCCTGGCCAGTCAGTTTGATTCTCGATGCTTGGTGCGAAATAAAGCCCTGCTTAACTTTCGCTTTGTATCAGTCTCGTCCTTTTGTCTACGAACCCTTTCAACAGGCAAGGATTAATCTCCCTAAAACTAAGCTCCTGGAATAAAAAGTTCAATAGAAAAAAAAATGAGCAAAGAATATGACTAGACTATTCACAAAATAGTAAATACTAACAGCCTTTACTTGTATGAAAATATCCTTAACTGTACTAAGATACACACACTTAAATTCTACTGACAAAACACTGCCCAGTAGACTAGCAAAAATTCAAAAATTTGAATAAATCACTCTATTGGTGGATTTGGGAAGAAAAAAAGCACCCTCATGACATTACTAGTAGGAGTATAAATTGGTACATTATCTGTGGAAGGCAGATACCCTTTGGGGTAGTCATTAAAGCTGCTCACAAAAGCCTTCTCCTTCTCTTTCGGGTATACTATACTGTTCACTTGAGGTTAAATATGGTTATACGACTTGCTTTAGCCAGGGAAATGTGAGCAAAAGTGACATATTGTATATTCTGGGTGGAAGTTTTTTGCTTGTTTGTTTTAAAGATTTTATTTATTTATTTATTTGACAGAGATTGAGAGAGAGAAAGTGATCACAAGTAGGCAGAGAGGCAGGCAGAGGGAGAGGGGGAAGCAGGCTCCCCACTGAGCAGAGAGCCAGATGCCGGGCTGGATCTAGAACCCTGAGACTGACTGGAGCTGAAGGCAGAGGCTTAACCCACTGAGCCACCCAGGCGCCCCCTGAGTGGAAGTTTGAAGAACCAGAGTGCAATTTGATATGTTCTCTTTCATTTATCTTTTCTTTCCCTCCACCACCCATACTGACAAATGTCCTAGATGCAGAACTCCTTGACATGCAGGATGACAAGCAGCATGAACAAAATAAACCTTTACTGTTTCAAGCTACTGACAAATGGAGGGCAACATGACAATATTTATTGAATTTACAAATACATATCCTCTCAAATATACTTGCAAAATGACATATGTAAAAGGTGCTCATTTACAACATGGTTTGTTATAGCAAATGACTGGAAACAACCAAATGAACCAAATTAACATCAACAGAATACTAGTTAAATACTTGCAGGAACTTCATACAGCAAAATATCTGTAACTATTGAGAAAAAATTCTCTTAAAGCTAATATGGAAGGATCTCCAAATGAAAAAACAAGATGTTCTCAGTATGTACACCAATTTTGTTTAAAAAAAAAAAAAGTGAGGGGGTACAATATATATTCATATGTTCTTGTACTTGCACCAAGCAACTATGGAACAGTAAGAAAATAACAATTATTACCTTGGACAGACCATTAAAGGGTGACTCGGTGGAACTTCCAATTTACTCAGGAAAAATATTTGGGGTGCTGTACTTAACTTCCTACTGTCACAACCTCAATTAAGTTAGGCAAATCTCATGTTAAGTATAAATAGCGTACTTCTACCTCTATCTGAAACTGTTCTGATACTCTTCATTAAACTCTGGCTTGTCTTTATCCTCTTGGCCACATCTAATCAGCTTCTATTACATTACCTGTGTTATGTATATATTTACTACTGTTCTCTTATTAAGCAATGGTTCTGTTTTTGCTATTCTTTTTGAGAGATTCTGAACTGCCTCTTAAAAAGAAAAAAATCATAGCAAACTGTGCCTGCTCCAATATATTCTTGTTTTTCTCATTCAGAACTTTTTTTTTTTTTTTTTTTTTTTTTTTTTTTTTTAATTTATTTATTTGACAGACAGAGATCACAAGCAGGCAGAGAGGCAGGCAGAGAGAGAGGAGGAAGCAGGCTCCCTGCCGAGCAGAGAGCCCGATGCGGGGCTCGATCCCAGGACCCTGAGATCACGACCCGAGCCGAAGGCAGCGGCTTAACCCACTGAGCCACCCAGGCGCCCCTCATTCAGAACTTTTATGTGGATGTTATTTGTTTTACTTTCCTTTATAATAAGAATTATAAAAACCTTACTTATGGAAAATTACAAATAAAAAGTTAGTAGGTATTCTAACACTGTCTCCATAAATGTTCACTTTAAATGTTTATCTCCTGTCACTCTAGACCAACAGACTCCAAATCTAAAATCTATATACATGTATAACTGTGTTAATACATTACATTATAAAAATGTAAAAAGCATAAAAGAAATAATCATTTAAGATTTACTAATGATAAAAAAAGTTTTCTGCTGTCACTAAAAGTACTAATAATATTTTTAGTGAAAGCAATGTGATACAATATGCCTCATTATTTTTTAAATCTCGGTTTAACATTTCATTATAGGATTATTTGAAGGTCTGGTTCCACTTTCAATTATTTCAATACTTGGTTTTCAAAGCTGCCAAAAAGATACAGATACATCAGTCAAATGAAAGATGTGCAAGTGGTTCCTACGTAGCAATTATTCAAAGATTTTGTTGAAATTTGGCTAATTAAGTTCTCATTTTCTCTGATATCTTACCAAATAGAAATATTTTTAACAAGTAAGCTCAAACCTCACTGAAAACTTTCATTATAAGTATTTTCAAATATGTTAATAGCTTCTTTCCAAGATTTTAGAACATGTAGTTACTGGGTTTTATAGGTAACAGTCATTGTTTCTGGAAAAAAAAAAAAAAGAACACTTACACAAAAGAAAGATTCTTAAACATCTGTATTCACAGCAGCTACCTTTTCAATCATTATTAAAACATCTTCTCTCTGAAGGGTCAAATTAGCAATGCTTGTAAGAAGCTAGAACAATATGAGTGACAAAATAAATGATAAAAATGATTATGACTGTAAAATGTAATACATTATATAATAAATTAGGTATCTATGAGTCCACAGTGACATAAATAAATTGATGGGAGAAAAGGGAAATCTCTTCCCTATAGTAGAATGCCAACTAATGAATGTAGAAAGTATAATGGAAATAGAAAGTTACCATTTGGCAGCCGCCATTAGTGATGAAGATTCAGAAAGGAGACATCAATGAATGCTTAGCTCATTGGTGGAGGTGCAATGCGGAATAAGATACTGGCATATTTTTAGAGTACACAAAACACCAGTTACATCAACTACAAAAGGAAAAAAAGGTGCCTCAACAGGTTGGAAACCTGGTCAATAAAAACTTAACTAGGTGACTGAGATTAATATTAAGGGTAGTGTAAGGACCTATTTTATATTTTTATATCTTAGCCAGAGGCTTCCACTGAGGTTAAACAATAACATTGTTGTTTAACCCTTAAACTGACCCTGCTCCCCTTCCCCCAGGGGACTTACTTAAAAACAAGCCTCAGGTAACAAAGCATAAATACAAGGATGGGTCAGGCCAGGTGAAGACAATCCGATCAGTGGGGGGTTGCATACTGTCTCCTTAGCTACCAAGGAGTATGGGCCCCGCCCTTTGGGAGCTTTTTGCGTGCCAATCCTAACCTAAATTGTAATTCAATTGGTCACCTAGCAACACTGTGCAGTTTCTCTGTGTGTTACAATTTCATTGGCCACCTATGCGTGGCCAGGCCCAACCACATGGCCTTTGCCCTTAAAAGCCAGTCCATAAAGGAGAGCGGGGTTGCCCTCTCTCTAAGAGGCGCGGCCTTGGCCGGCCAGTTTGATTCTTGATGCTTGGCGTGAAATAAAGCTTTGCTTGACCTTCACTTTGTATCAGTCTTGCTGCTTTAATCACAGACCCATTATTGGGGCATAACAGGTAGCACATGTTGACACGTGTACTTTCTGATACAATTCACTAAAAAGAGCCCAGCATATTTTTGTGTAATTCCTGCCAAGAAAGCATGGCCTGAGTCTGAACATGAGGAAACATTGGATGGACCCCAAATGAACATGCTACAAAATAAAAGGCCTATACCATCTGTCCAAGATAAAACTGAAGAACTATTCCTGATTAGAGGAGACTAAAGAGATATGACTACTAAATGCAACATGTCAGCCTGGATAGTATACCCTGGACTAGGGAAGAAAAGAGACATTGTTGTGATGGCAAAATTTGTATGGCATTTTTATGATGGTGTTGCCATTGTTGATTTCCTCCAGTGGATAGTTACACTGTGCTTATATAAGAGAGTAGCTTTAGTTTTTTGGGAAGTACAAATAGGACTATTTAGGAGTAACACAACATCATCTCTTCAACTTTTTCTCAAATGGTTCAGAAAAAGATTAATCACACATAATGGACAGAAGGTGATGAAAACTGGTGACATCAACAACTGGACCACCTTGGCAAGAAAGATTTAAGAGTTCTTAATACGTTATTTTGGCAAATTTTCCCTAAGTCTGAAATTATTTCAAAATAAATTATTTTTCAAGTGTGTTTACACACGTGAGCATGCTTGTATTTTTAATGCAGGTATCTGCCAAGTATTATACTACTGACAGCCACTTGTCATCATTTAAAAACATCCTTTCTGTATACATCACAAAGGCCCTAACAGGTGAGGCAGTGGCCTTGAAGTGGGTAGCCAAGGGAGACAACAACTGACTCTAAGAGGCCTTGTAATGGTTCCCCATCCTAAACTCAAAATGAAAAGGGCTCAAAGTGACAATGGTACTGAAAAAAGCATTTAACTTAACCTTCAGGCTCTCAACCCACTAGGTCTATCTGATTTCCATTAATCAGCATAGAAGGAAACCAACAGCCACCTCCCATCCCTTAAGGCTCTAGCTTACTTGTCATGCATCCCCAGATGCACACTATAAGGAGATGACTAATCAGTGACTGCCTCGTCAGCACCATATGTCTCCAAATTTCAAAGGAAAAACTGTCCCAACTAGTACTAGAAAAACAGATTTCCTACCTCCTGCAGCCGGAGTCGAACCTTGGTAACTGCTCGGATCCAGTGTGCTCTGGCTTGGGTAAATGGCGAAGAAGCATTCTCCTCAGGAAAACTTGTAACAAAGAAAGGAATGTTTCTTAAGAACAGCCCAGGCCACAGGGTGACCGCTTAAGGCAAAAGTGCCAAATAACTTAAGTAAAATACTTTGTATTTATGCCTAGACTTGTTTCATGAGTCAGGCCACTATACAGCATAGTCCTAAATAGCTAATGTGGGGGAAAAAAATCCTCTCTAAAATGACAACTCCTGGGGCACCTGGGTGGCTCAGTGGGTTAAAGCCTCTGCCTTCGGCTCGGGTCATGATCCCAGGTTCCTGGGATAGAGCCCCGCATCGGAGTCTCTGCTCGGCGGGGAGCCTGCTTCCTCCTCTCTCTCTCTCTGCCTGCCTCTCTGCCTACTTGTGATCTCTGCCTGTCAAGTGAGTAAATAAATAATCTTAAAACAAAACAAAACAAAACACTTTAAAATGACAACTCCTTTTAGCTTTTTATCCATTCCCTCTCTTCTTTCCCCATTTTTCACTTACCCAATAAGCCAGCTCACTAGGACAGTCAGATTTCAGGATTCTAGTAAAAGCAATGGCAAGGGCCTTGAATCAATGCTAGCACAAAAACTATGCAGACATGTGTACTAATCCTTGTGCCTTGCCTCTCAAGACCACCAGTCTCCCTTGGGCATTCTACATGCCATCCATCCTTAGGGCACAATTTTGTTCCTGCAAACCCTTCCTGCTCCACTAAAAATTTTGGAAGGCTTACCAATTCCTAGACTACAACAAAAATGCTAAGGAAAAAAGCACAGCCTATTTCCTACCATAGTCTTGTTCCTTGAGCTGCCTTAGGGACAACCTCAATGAAATAACAATAAATATAACAAACTAGTTTTGGGACAGAAACACTACACTGTATTAGAACAAATCATCATCTAGTTTCTTAACTGTGGAACAGTAGTCAGTTCTTGGTGACAATGCTTCTCCTCTCTTCCACTGAGGTCTAGTGCCAAGGCAGCAAACAAGCATCCACCATCTAGACATCTGAAATATAGGCCAACCTCTGCTGTCATCTAACTGGATCAACTGTTTTAAAACACTGTGGTCACTGGTGACCAAGGTAGAACTGGACCACACTTGAACAGCTAGGATCTGAAAGGACACAGCCAGTAGAGAAGGACAAATACTTGTGCTGGGCACTTCTGCTGCTCTACCAAGAACTCTACCCACACAATAGCATCTGCCAAATCTAAGGTCTACAAAGAGCCATTTTTCAGTGGCTCATCAACCACAACAACTCTTGGATGTCTTGTCTATTAGATGAGCCACTAGAGAGGTCTAAAAATCAGGAAAACGTTAAGGAGAAAAGAAAGTTTGTATCTTCAGTGGTGGAGTATGATGAAGTTCTTGAACCTAGGTGAGGTTCAGTGGGGTGAGGTTCGGAGCCTACGGCTAAGAAAGAATTCTTAAGACATCTTTGGTGCAAAAAGGTGGTTTATTAGAGCACGGGGACAGGACCCGTGGGCAGACGGAGATGCTGCCCCGTTATCCTGAGGAGTGGCTGATTATATACACAGGAGTTGGGTAGGTGAGGACAAAGGGAGTGATGTTAGTTTCTAAGGAATTTTGGAAGCAAGGTCTCCAGGACCTTGAGGGGCTAGCTATTGTTGGGAGAAAGGTTATTCATTACTAGTAGTAAAAATCTTCTTGTGAGACCCTTTAGATGTATATCAGTGGGCCACATGCTTGGGAATGATTCTCGACACTATCTTGGAGATCTAGAGATAAAGCTTCACATTTCTCCTATCAAGTGTCCTTGTTAGTGAGATTTGGGTTTAGAAGAAATTTAACTTTATTTAGGGCTTGAGGAACTGAGTTACTTGCCTCTGGAAATTGTGCTATTGTTAGATAGCTTCTTTGTTGTAAATCTCTAGGACATTGGTAAACCAAGGGAGATTCCTGTCTTGCAGGACTGTGATCTCTGCAAGTTAACTATTTGTTTCTCTTTTAGGGCAGCCAGATGTGCCTGAGGAATGTCACACATATTACCGAGGGGAGCGGGTGGAGAGGGGGTGCAAGATGCCAGCTTTTGCTTTGTCCTCAGCCAGACTCCTGCTCCCTCATCAGAGTAGATATACCAACAATTCTTCAAACTTTTACCACTTATAACTGCACTCACTGCTCTGACCTTTTGGTGAGAGGCATTATTTTTAGAACTTGAAATCTGAGAATCCAAGTCACCCTAGCCCTTATCACTCTAGCACAGTGGTTTTCAACTGGGGACACTTTTGCCCAGCATGGGCAATGACAACATCTGGAGACATTTTTGGTTGTCACAACTGGTAGTTGCCACTGGCAAGTAGTACAGAGGCCAGAGATGCCACCATACATTCCACAATGCCCACAATAGCTCCTCATAACAAAGAGTTACCTGGTCCCAAATGTCAATAGTGCTAAGATTGAAAAATCACACTCTGCCCCAAACTATCAACAAATCTACTGACCAATTCAGCTCAATAACACTCAAACACAGTACTAAACTTCATTAGAAGACTGCTAGAAACACAAGTTTAAAATTTTTCTTCTTATGGGTACCAATGAATTCTAGAAACACTGCTAGACCCTGGGGCAGAAGGGTGAGTTAGATCTAACTCTTAGACCAATTCTTTCTTAACTCTGTCCTAGTTTTCTCAATCAGGAAAATACAAAACAAAACAATGTTCATGTAAGAAATTTAAACATTAATAGGCTAGGAGGCCTATTTCATCCAAAGCAGGTCTTTTTAATGAAACAAGTTGTAGGTCTTGGATCAGTTCCAGACTCAGAGGCTCCCATATATAGGTCAATTAGTAGGCCAATAACCGCAGATTTAAGAAGGCCTGGTACACTGCAGCTAACTACAAAGAACCCATGTGTTCCTCTGAGAGCCTCAAAATATTTAGGGAATTATACCAAAAAGTCAAAGGAAGCAGTGCAGAGCTAAACCTCAGTATCCTGAATCACTGCCATACCCACCTGTACAGAAACAAATGAAAAGCACTTACATCCTGAAATACCACAGGCAGGTACTAAGGAGACCATGTGAATTCCTCAAGGCAGCTATAACCTACCTCTCCTGGGGGCCTAGGACGTGGTCTTTGTGTAGCACCAGATCTGGAGGAGGATGGATTGAGGCATCTTCTTTCCTCTCCTTGGGTTCAAATGCTCTCCCCTTCTCTTCTTCACCTGTTACCTCCAAGGCTTTCTCTTGTTCTCCAAAACCCGCTTGGCCATCTCTGGAGAAGCTGCCAGAGCTGTGGCACGAATGAGTTGAGTCCCTCTCCCGACGGTCATCATCTTGTTCGTGACACTGGTCTAGTTCACTCAACTGAGAGCTTCCTTGACTTACATTACAGGAGGAGCCATACCTACTACTGCTGGTGGGGCTGTGAGAATGAGAGGAAGACAGATGAGTATGTATATGCAAACTAGAGACCAGGACAAATGTAATGGATAAATCCAGAAGTAATGATTCTTTCAGTGGCAAGAATCACAAATACTAGGTTCCTGGGAAGACAGAACCAAACTTCACAATCTAGAAGAACTAGTTTCTAGTCAGCAGAAGCACAAAGGAAAAACACTACAACATGCTGGGTTCTCTAACAGCACTTAATCTCAACCTGTGGCAGACGCTGAAGCACACTTTATCTCAAAGTAATTTTTTAAGTAGCAGTTTAACCTTAATTATTAAGAATTACTAAATATAAAAGTAGCCTCTTGTTTACACCTAATATTCTTTACTTGGACTTCTAAAGAATCTTGTCCAATGGCTGTGATTAAAGTATTCTAATTTCCATAAAGTAAAATGGATGAGATCTACTCCCCTTTTCTATTATTTACTAAACTGATGTGACCTTTTCTTCCTCTGTAATTATAAACGTGAATGTCTGTTCCTTAGGATGAGCAAAGGAGATTGGAGATGTTCCTTCAATTATCTCTCAACTATCTACATGATGAGGTAATGGATACGATTGCGAGATGAAATCTATGACAAAAAAAAAAAAAAATTCCTCTGGGGAATGGTCTCATCAACATGAATGTTACAATATATCCCGGGCAGCACAGGGAATGTCCTAATGAGAAACTTGCCCACCTGTAACTGAGTTGCTCTTGGAATATGGCTCGTTTGGGATAAATAGGACAAAAGCCAACTCCAGAATCTGCATCAGGACCACACTAATATGTTTCTATACTTGAGGAGAGGCCAGCCCAACCCTTACTCAATCACTTGAATTCCCATACCCATAAAAGAAATTTGTTCCCCTGCTCTGAGAGACAGCACCTATAGCAGAGAAAGTGGCAGTGAATCATGATTAGAAAGAAGGGCAGTATCCATAAGTTACTCCCTTGAGCTATACACTGAATTTAAGGCAGTCAGTCCTACTCCAGCTAGAGCTTCTAGGTGATGATCTTTAAGACCTATCCCAGTTCATATGGATAGTTCTATCCCAAATCAGGGGAACCCTTTCACCTCCGGTATCCTGCTAAAAAGCTTCCATGCAAAAGGATGAAGAAGTTCCTTGCCACAGAGTCAAGCCTTTAACTGAAGGGCTTATGTTTACCCTTGACTAAATGAAGATAAATCGTTATTGTTTCCCAGGGATATTTTTCCCTATGGTACCTCCTGATTACCTGGTATTTTCAGGCTAATTTCTGATCCTTTGTCCCATGGCACCAGGACAGGTACCAGGTCACTGTTATGAACAGTTCCTAACACATGTGTATACACACACACACACACACACACACACACACACACACACACACGATCTCTAAAATCAACCCCTCTGGACAGGTTTTGGGAAAGAGGTCCTGGCAGCATTCTTAAGTTGTACTGTATACGGTGTTTCTTCTTAGGGGAAATAACGGGATCTTTTCCACGGGGACCCTGCACAATGCTCCAGAATAAAGAACGACAGCAAAGGACAGCCTTAAGCTCCTGTGACACTTTACTCAAAGCACTTACCAGACACCAGTCTTAAGGGTACAAAAAGGCAAAGACTGGAAGAAGCTATGCAAATCCATGTGGAATAGGACATAGAATATAAATTAGCCCAACCTCTGTATCTTACATTTTACTTAATAACCTCATTGCCACTGGAGAAAGCATCTTAGAAGCCTTGAAAAAGCAAAGCACAGTAGATCTCTCCCCAGCTTGTATAGATAAAAGTGCTAAAAGCCCAAGGAAGCATCCTAACCTATCATATGTGGTTGTAATTAATATATGCTACACTACTACTTGCTGCCTCTTCCTGACCTCCATTCTCCATTCCACTTTACACAAGGCAGAGAAAACCAGAGTGAGTAAATCCCAGGGTCCAGCCTTTCCTTTAGCAGTAAGTTCCTTCTTCCAATAAATGAATTACATCTGACACTAGAGAGAGGGAAGAGGATGAAAAGACCCTTACATTATTTCTTGTTACTTAACCCCTAGTTAACATGAAGCTCAGATGCTAGGAAAGACATAGGAAAAATAAAAAGCAGGCTACCATTAAACTACCACTAAGTCACTGCATCATAAATGGTCAATTTCTTAAAGTCATTTATGATGCTTAGATTGACAACAGGCCTTTTGTCGGTCTTTGGTTCCTTGATGCCATGGAGAGTAACTGGTTGCTGTATGTCTGAAAGAGAGTCAGTGCTAGCAGGCAACACCTCCTCCTTTTGTGTTTCTGGCTGGTGAAGTAGCTCATTGACAGTGCAGTGTTCTTCCTTATGAGTGCCTGAAGGACAAGTGGAGCTAGAAAGGTTGCTATTGGAACCCCAGTATTCTCCTGATGCTGAGACTTCTTGCTGGTTTTCCATTTCTCCAGGTCCTGAAAGCTCATGAGCACGTATACTTGGCTTGGTCTCCTGCTGCTCAGAGGTCCCAGAGGGCTGACCAGCTGGCTCAGCACTAGCCTCAGTCATTCGAGAAGACTCTAAAGCTTTGTCAGCCTCCCTAGCATTAAGGACTTGATCGCTACTGATAACCAGAGCTCGAGAAGAGGGTTCTGCAGGCATTTGTTCAGGGCCCCCTCTGTTCTCTTTTGGCCATGTGAATGAGAGATCTAGCTTCTTTCCAAACCTTAGTTTTAGATCACTTGCCATAATGCTCCCTTTCCCCTCACTACCTCCCTCAAACAGAGTTGACAACTTTTTAAAACTGGCCATTAAACCAGGCTCTACTGCTCTGTTGCCAGAGGAAGGAGATGGGGAAAAGAAAGAGCTCAGTGGTTTCCCACAGTCAGTGGCAGAGGATGGGAAATGGAGTTTTGGCCAACTGGGCATGTTTGGGATCTCAAAGTGAGATCTTGGCTGCTCTGTTTCCTGGGGGATTGCAGGTAGATCTTTCTGGGTATCAAGTATCCCACAACTTTCTTTAGCACAAAGCACAGGTTCCTCTAGCACAGGGTGAGAAAGGTATCCCTGGGTTTCTGGTGTGGCACTCTGGCCAACACTTGCCTCACTCAACAGTGGAGTACTGGTTTCCAGTGAACTGGCTGCCTGTAGTTCCAAGAAATATTGGTTTGTGGAGTCAGACTGCAGAGATGGCTTTGCCTCAAGGGGAATAGATGGCTGAACCAGAGGAGGAAGCTCTTTGGCAATACAGGTAGGATCTGAATCCACATGTGATGGCAATGGAATATGCTCTGCTTCCAATGATGCATCTGTGTCTGTGCCCTGCAACAACCCCATGTCTCCTTCATCACTCAGAGACAATACTCCTTGCCCAGTATCGTCCTCTGAAACAGAAGGTGCAGCCCCAATTGTTTCAGAATCTTGGGGTTCTAGAATATTGTCATGAATATTATTGTTTTCCATTTCAGTTGTTAGCTTAGTATCATCTATCAGAGTCTCTGAGTCTGACTTTGCACTAACTGCAGTCATTGTGCAGTCACTGAGAGTAGCTTCTGAATTGAGTGCTGGAGAGGAAACTTCTCTCCACAAATTTTCTGGAGGTACTGATCCTACAGTATCTCTGCAACAACCATTTTGAGGCCATGCAGTAGCCGGGATAGGTGATTCTTGTTTGTATGCCTCTGGTTTGGGACTTTTAAAAATTCCAAGTAATTCACTTTTGAGGGACTGAGATGATGCACCAGAAGAAAGAGAGAAAAAGGAGTTTTTCTTTGGCAGTTTATGAGGGGAGAAAAGTCCAGAGAAAGTTTTAGGAGGTTCAATTAAGCACCCGGAGAAAGATTTCACTTTTGTCACAAACCCTGAAAGCACCTCTACTGAAGAGCCCAACACTGACTTGTCCTCTTCTTTATCTACCTCTGGGCTCTGGAGATGCCTTGTACACCCTGGCTCCACAGAGGGAGAGGTTGGCTCCAAGATCTGTGTTAAGACTTCACCAGGGGCCTTTTCTAATGGCAAGTTTAAGGGGTCACTAGTAAATCTTTCATTTTGGTGGTGGTTAGTACAAGTGTCTGAATTGTTGAGCTTTTCAGTTGAATGGTTATCATGCGAAAAAGACTGTGCCAATGAGCCACTAGAGAAGGCTTCTGGTATGAAAGGTTCTTCATAAGGAGCTATTCCAGTAGTCTCTAGACCAATGAGCAGTGTTTCAGTCTGTGCCTGAAATTCTGGTGAATGAGGAACAATGTCATTCTGCAACTGATTCATCTGGAAATCTGCTAAAGATGTCCCTAGTCCGTTACTAGGATCTAGTTTTCTCTGATAGTCCTTCTCTCCCTTGAGCTCATCTGTAAGGTAAGTAACCTCAATGCTGTTGCTAATGGAAACACAAGGAGCCGTTTGCTGTTCATGAACTACCTCCTGGACTATGCTATCTCCAGTGCTACTGGAACTTTCTCTAGTCATTGTGCCACCCATGTCTACAAAAACACCTGACTTCTTACAGGGCTGGGAAGTCACTGGAGCAACAGTTGAAAGGCTGTGTTTTTCCCCAGGAATCTGCTGCTTTCCATCCAAAAACGGTAAGCTGAAGAAACTAAAAGAGTTATTATGAGAGGCATCCTTCTTGTTGCTTGAGTTAGTAGTGGAAAAAAAGGAAGGAAGTGTAAATAGCCCTTCTGCTTGAGATTTGGTTCTCAGAGGAGTAGCAGAGGCCCGGTTCTCAGATTTTTCAGATCCAGTCAGGAAAGAAAATATACTCTTTCTGGTGGGCAACTCTGGTTGAGATGGAGAAGTTGTGGGAGTTGAAAAACTCCAATGCTGGTCAGAAAAATGATCTTGTTCCTTTGAATTTCTTGGGCTTGGAATATCAAAAGATAATTTGTTGCTTCTTAAAACTTCTGTCACTGTAGACACATCACTAGTTTCTATTGAAGAATCTCTGGAAGACTCTTCAAGACAGTTTGCTGAGAAAGACTGATTTGGTGATTGCTGGATTAGGTGGTCTCTGGAAGGCACCTCTTTTTCAGTCAAATTATTACCCTGT